TTGGGAGGGGGTTGGGAGCACCGCAGATTTCTGATGTCATGGGGGTATCGCACCATCACGTTTCTGATTGGGGCGTTTCTTACGTTCGTTGTGGCCGAGATTGAGCGATGTTTATGTGCCCTTTTTGCTTATTTTTCGTACAAAGTTGAGTATGAGACTGTTGTCTCCAGGTTCGCGTGTGAGCAAGTTCCTTTAGGGATGGGCGGTGGTGTGGATACACACCGGATCAACCTCTGGTGGAGAGGCTGATGTACGGAACGTTGAGTCGAGTGTGTGTGAGGCAGGTGGGGATCAACCTCCTTGTGTTGAAGCAAGGTTCAGCTTCCAACCTGCACTGACTCTATCTATCTGTGGTAACACCCCGAAGGTAGATCTCCGACAGGTCATCTGACGTCACAATCTACGACAGTCTGAGGTGGCATTCACATCACCCCCCTATCTTCAATCTCGGGGCCTGAATCCGGATTGAAAGATACAAGAATGACATAAATACATCAGATTGTATGAAATTGTGAAGTACTGATGAAAAACATGAGGTAAATGACTTGGGCCGAAATGTACGGCGACTGCCATCATTCAACGAACGCTTTGTGTTTGGTAGTTATGAAATTTGGAACATGTCACCAAAATATCTCATCCGAGCATCGATCGTACATAGCGCAGNCCCTATCTTCAATCTCGGGGCCTGAATCCGGATTGAAAGATACAAGAATTACATCAATACATCAGATTGTATGAAATTGTGAAGTACTGATGAAAAACATGAGGTAAATGACTTGGGCCGAAATGTACGGCGACTGCCATCATTCAACGAACGCTTTGTGTTTGGTAGTTATGAAATTTGGAACATGTCACCAAAATATCTCATCCGAGCATCGATCGTACATAGCGCAGTCACCACCACAGCTTGCACGAGAGCAATTCAGGAATTTTGGCAACTATTCCCGTACGACGAACGAATAACTACACAGATGACGAAAGGTGTACGGAACATGTCACTTCAGTCCGCCTCGGCGCTGTAGGCAACATGTGATCTACCGTACGACGAACGACGTGTGTACAGAAAAAAACATCACTCCGGTGCGCGTCTTGCACCGATAGTGTAAAAAAAACTGTACAGTAGTACCTTGAGACAACGCCGTGAACTGCTTGGTAGTTGCACGTAACGAACATCCAGCAACGAAAAATAATTTGACATTGCACATGTGAAAGACGGTTGCTTGCAAGGCTTAAATTTCACAAGTGTCGAATGGCAAATGACGTGGGTCGACCCGCTGGGAAAACGTTGCTCAAACGATATGCAGCGGCAACAACGAACGAACATATGTGCACAGCTCGTGGAGAGCTAACGATACGACCTTCTCATGCGATCGCGCAATTGAGAGGTGCTGCATAGACGAACGACGACGAATGGTGATTACGAGTACAGCCAACGATGTGCTGTAGCATGGATTTGACGCAGTAGTGGAACGAAAGTCTGGTCCTCTTGTGCTTCCTCTTGCACGGCCAAGACCACCATCTACTCTTTCGCGATGGACGACACGCGAGAAACGATGTGTGGGATAAAAATCCACCACACAAACGACAAGACAAATCGGGCATGAACAAAACCGTGTGAACAATGCAAAAGTGCATGGATCCACAAGTCGATTATCAATTGCAATTCCCCCAAACTGTAAGTGAGACGATATCACCCCCCAATTCAGGACGGAGTGGACGAGAAAACGACGAACTTCCGATCACGCATATTCGCTCACATAAAGCATCAACTGACCCCATACGACGCACTCGTATCTCAAGGACAGCGACACAACGGCAATGGACGCTTCACACCACGCACGATTGTCTATTGACGGACGAACGTTCCAATCATAATTGAAAACGTTTACGGAGCTCGCACGAGGTACTATGTCGTACGGCATTCAAACAGAGAAATATATATAGTAAAATTAAATCACAGAACGAAGGGGCAACGCCATGCCTTAAAAATGACGTGCGCTAGCATGCATGTCCGACGAAACGAAGACACGCAACCATGCTTGGTTCGCGGAGGGCGAATCTCGACGCAAACTAGGCTCCGCCTGCCGACTTCCACGAGGTGTTGCATCCAACGTGGGCGTATCCACCAACAACGTCAATGTCCGGCCGGACTGCGAAGGAACGTTGGGGACGGCGGGCACTACGAAACGATCGTGCTGGACGACGAACAATAAAATATACGAAGTATGTACATACGAAAATATAAAAAATAAACATAGCCCTTGTAAAATAAACGAAACACGAAACGAATAAGGCAAACGCAGCACGAAACACGATACGAAGCAGCTACGAGTGCTACTTTCTAGGAGGATGATCAAAGGCGTGCGGAGTATCACGAAGAACGCACGCTCGATATGATGAACGGATCATCTCGTGACACTGGGGTACATCTTTGAAGTGCTTCCAACACCCAAGACTTTCAGGACGGTCTTTGAGGAGGAAATAATATTGGAAGTTATGGAGAGACGGTTTTCCTGCTCCACGTTTAAATTTGTCTATCCCCTCGACGACGTACGGTCCAATTTTTACGGTAAACACGGTACCATCCAAATCGGGAATTGGAAGGGTTTGTCCCAAAAACATCTCATCCAATTCAGAAAAATCGGGGACAGAATCACGTTGAAAAGCATAGTACTTTTTCATATAACCCAAGTGTACAGACGTTTCCGCGAGTTCTCCGTCTTTGCAAACACGATAGATGACGGGTGATACTTTTGAACGAACGGTGAATGGGCCATGCCAAGGGCTGATCAGCTTGGGATTGGGGCCATCCATAACGGTGTGGGGACGATGTACGAGAACTTGTTCCCCAGGAGTAAACTGCGGTACGGATAAATTTTCGTTCGAGTCTGCTTGCTTGTCAGTTCGCTCTTCTTTCAAATCACGACGAGCGATCTCATACGCGAGTTGCAAGTTATTCACGGTACGGCGTGAATATTCCATCCGCGAACCAGAGCTATCATGAGACGGTACACCAAGACTGACATCCACGGGAAGCAAAGCCTGGCGACCAAACATCAGATAGTGAGGAGTTTCCTCAAGAGTTTGGTTGTACGCGGTGTTATGGGCGAGTTGCACAAACGGTAAAAGCTCAGCCCAATTATCAAACCGAACGTTTGCATACATTGCGAGCATGCCATGCATTGTGCTGT